TTGAAGCATCAATGCCAGAGATCTTTAGAATCTCCTGTTCTGAAAACAAACCCAGGTAAAAACAATTATTGTGTTCACATAAATTAATGCAAACACCACAATAGAGTATTTTCAGCAGCAGAAGGAAAACTCTTCCTTCCTTCTCTGACCCAGACAGACCCCAAACTGAAATAGGTGTTTGAGCCTGAGTTAAACTTCCTGAGCAGGTACCCCCAGCTGGGCCCAAGTGATGTGAACAGCAGAGTCTGGGGGACTGTTTGAGCCATTTTCCCTTCAAATGGCTTTATTTCTGACCTGCAAAATTGAAAGAAGGAGAGAAGTGCTCTCAGGTCTCACTCACTGCAGAGAACTGAACAGCTCCGAGCTCAGAACTCAGTCCCAGCTTTACTCAAATCCCTTCTTCAAATGTGGTTCTTCTGCTCATGCAGTTGGGCATCAAGTTATGCTCAGGAAAAGGCAAAAGACCAAAATATTCCAAGTATTGAGCTGTGTTTTACCCTGAGTGGTGCAAATGAGGCTCAGTAGTTCTGATCTGACATAGAGAGATAGAGATTCAAAGTAAATTCACTTCTGTGGAGTCTTTAAAGTTCTCTTGGGTAACCAAAAATATCAAAAATAATTTATAAACTTCCTCAGTTATTCCAGATTTTTTAATGTTCGCAGAAGTGTCAAATATTCAGACTCCACAGAAATTGATATAATTTAATTATTTCAATTTAATACTCAATTATCCTCTGGTATCTATAGGTGCTTTATTAAAGACAGAACTCTTTCAAAACGTGCAGAGGAAGAAAAACTAAAAATACATATCTAAGGTAGAAATAAATATTGAAATCACTTTTCATGCATTTTTAAATGTTAATTTTGTGTGAAGTATTTACACCATTTCCTCACACCTATGAATAAATAATCCCACTCCTGTGAGTGTATTATTTGTATGCACAGAGAAAAGCAGAGCAATGAATCCTAATTCTCTTCTGCATCATCCAGCAGGCTCCAAACACCCAGCAGGCAGGAGAAGCGGAATAAACATTCCACAGAAGTAGAATAAAGTTTATTTCTGAAGGAGGGCATTTTAGAAAATCCAAGTGGTAGCTGATTCCACCACACTGTGTTTTATTGTTAAATTGTTCTCTCCTGGGTGGGTTGATTAGACTTGTGACTTAAATTTTCATTTTAGGGACATTCAGAACAAGAAGCAAAAAAGCTTTTTATGACAAGAAGTCAATGGGAATGGTGGTAAAAGTCACTGCAAGGAAAAACAGGAATTCTGTGGTCCCAATATTATGGAGAAATGAGGAAAAGGGGCAGGGAACACTTTCCATGGTGATCAGAGGAGATTAGAAGGGTTGAGCTGTTTAAGGAACCATGAAGTGCTGTGTGTGATGGGGCTGCTTTTGGCCAAAGCCAAGCACTGAATGGTAAAGTCCAGTTTTCAAGGCCCTGCAAGATGAAAGAGGAAGAAATTGGGAGACAAAACAAATTCCAAGAGCCATTGTGAGTTCCCTGGCCTGGTGGGAGGTGTCCCTGCCCATGGCAGGGGGGTGGGACGGGGTGAGATTTAAGGTCCCTTCCAACCCAAACCATCCTGTGATTCCATAAATCCATGACCCTGTGAATTCTCCTACGTACAGGAGGCATCAAACAAGAGCTCTGTGTTCTTTCACCTTGCCAGAAAGGTGTGTGAACACAATTCCTACTGTTTCCTTTCTCTGTCCCCTTTTTCCCTCAGGTTCATGCTTATGGTCTCTGTGACAATCATTGTCTGGGTAAGAGGTTAAATGACAAAAAAATCATCTCCTGGATGCACATCCTCCCTTCTTTCTAAAAGCTGCATTTTAAAATATATGTTTAAAACATATACATTGAGTTTGGGGTGCAGTTGGTGGCCCTGCAGTGGGATGCAAAGGTTGTGGGAGGTGAGATTAATCCTTCTGTCCCTCAAGTGACATATTTCAGGAACAGAACAAATATTCAACTGCCTGTATCCAACTGCTGCATCCTCAGACTCCTGTTCTTCCAAAGAATAAAATGCCTGAGCCACTCGTGGTGCTGATGTTCTGCTGAGGCCATGGGGACCCTCCTCTCAGTTTTAATGAGCCCAAGGTATCCCCTCGTGTCTCATCACTCTGTCCCTGTGTCACACAGGCTGGGCACAGGTAAGGAGCACTCAGGGAACAGCCTGAATAAAAACAGAACAGGGGGAAAAAATAGATTCTGAGCTGTCTGGGGGACAGATTAAATTTAGCACAAGAGCCCAGCAAAGGAGAGAAACTGTACCAGTTGGGCTGCTGATGGCTCTGCTTAATCTCCCTCGTGCTGACCATTCCTGCCTCCTTCTTCCTGCAGGAATTGTTGGGAAAAAGAGGAATGACGGACAATATTTATGTAAGAGTGAGGGGGAGGAGGAGGGAAGCACCAAGTGTTGATTTGCTGGGGGTGGAAGAGGCAGCCCTAACTCAGCACTGATTGCAAACGGAGAGAGAGGAGGTTTAGAAGAGATATTAGAAAAAAAATCTGCCCTGTGAGGGTGGTGAGGCCCTGGCACAGGTTGCCCAGAGAAGCTGTGGCTGCCTCTGGATCCCTGGAAGTGTCCAAGGCCAGGTTGGACGGGGCTTGGAGCAACCTGGGCTGGTGGAAGGTGTCCCTGCCCATGGCAGGGGGTGGAACTGGATAATATTTAATGTCCCTTCCAACCCAAACCACTCTGGGATTCTATGATTTTATTACCATCTCCTGGTGTCTCCTGTGTCCCAGCTCCCACCACCTTTCAAACTATGGCATCAGCTAAAAAATGCCCTAAACATGTAGCAAAGACTGGCTTGAAATGTAAAAGTCAGACTGTCATCAAGGACATGTTACTACTGTTTCCAGCCCAGGAAGCCAGGTCATTTTGGGTTCCCATAAATAGAAAGTGGCGAGCCAGTAAAAAAAAAATTTAAAAAAAAAGGCTCAGATTCTTGTTGCACAATTTTTCTCCTCCTGCTCTTGATTTAATGCCAATGTAACCAAAAGATTGACCTACAAGAGCTCAGATTTCCTTCCTGTTTCTTCCCTCCCATCTCCCAGTTTCAAGCCAATAACTTTGTGTTATCTGCAAACCCTGCTCTCGTTCCCTTCACCACAGCTAAACACACTGTCAGATGAATCAGCACTTCAACATGAGCCAACCCCATCCCAACACCAGCAGAGGTTATATCAACATAGCCAGGGCTTTTTAGCCTGGTTTCCTAAGAAAACAAAGCTTATGTAAACACAGCAGCTCCCAGTCTGCCTCTGCCCCTGCTCAGAAATGGTAATTTTTTTGAACCATGGGCCAGTTTCAACCATATTTAATGAAAGGATGGAAATCTTGATGCCATTAAGGGAAGGTGGAAGGGAAAGCAGAGATTCCCAAAGCAGTGCTCCTGCTGTGGGCATCAGACTCGGGTGTGAGGTGCTGGGATTCCTAAATCTCATCTCTAATTATCTCTAACCCCATTTGTTTCAGTCACAAGTTTGACCTGATCCTGAAAAGGACCAAAAGGATCCAAAAGGCCCTTGTTTGGTTTCTCTCTGAAAGAGAGTGGATTTAGTTTGGATATTTGGGAGAAATTGTTGGCTGTGAGGGTGGGAAGCCCTGGCCCAGGTTGCCCAGAGAAGCTGTGGCTGCCCCTGGATCCCTGGAAGTGTCCTAGGCCAGGTTGGACGGGGCTTGGAGCAACCTGGGATAGTGGAAGTTGTCCTGCCCATGGCAGGGGGTGGCACTGGATGGACTTTAAGGTCCCTTCCCACTCAAACCATTCCATGATGCTGTGATTCTGTGATTTGATGATTGGCTCCCCTTGAACTCCACAATCTCTTGTCCCAGAACATTTACCATCAATAAGACACAAATCCTCAAGCAAAGAGTCAAGAGTGGCCCTGCTGTGCTCACCCAGACACGTCCTGAAGCCAGGACTGTCCCACACCGAGGTTCTTGACCAACTTTGAGTTCCAGATTCCAGAGGAACAGCCTCCCACACTGGTACAAGCAAACCCTCAGCCTGGGAGAGCTCCTTTCACCCTGACACCACAAAGACTCCTCCTCATTTAGTCCCTGACAAAACAGAACCTTTGAATCTCTCCCAGTCAGGACAATCTCTCCCTTCCCTGTAATCACACCCAGCTCACCAAAGGTGACAGAGCCCACCTTGTCACCTCCTCAGTGCTGCCTTTTGGTTTCTTTCTGCACCATGGGGAGATATTATATTATATTAATTACATTATATTATATTATATTAATTACATTATGTTATGTTATATTATATTATTATGTTTTTATATTATACTACATTATTATATTTATTATATTACAAACTGCTAATGGCAAACCCTCCCTGCATCTGAACCAGCCAGTGAACAGCATGTCCTTTATTATTCCCTATTAGAGCTGCCACAACAGGCTGAGGTGACAGACAAGGACTGAAAAAAAAAAATAGCTAAAAGGTATCAAAAAACACACACATGCTTCAAGTTGCTGAAAAAAAAAAAACATGTTATAGCCGGGGAGGTATTTTTAGGCTCCCATAAACCAACAGGTGCCTACATTATGCTGCAAGTCTTTAATCTATAAAATTGGATTTACAGCCAGTGCTTCCACAAGAATGAATGTGCCTGAGAGCCACAAAGCCCCACATTCTCTGTACATTTAACTGGCACAAATTTAGGGCTTAGGGAAGAAATGTGCACGTGCTCTTTATAAATTTTCTTGCAGGTTTTAATGGCCACAGAGTAGAAGAGGGAGGGGAGGGGTGTTTTGGTTTTTTTCATCGTTGTTTTGGGTGAGCTTTCACTTAATCAAAGCTCGAACAGCATGGAAGTTTTTCCTTGGAAAGCTGGCCTGGAATCAGCATGTTTAAACAGCAAACAGTTTAGAATCCAACAGCTAATGACTCCAGCAGGGTTAAAGCAAACCATCCCCAGTGGCTTCCCTCCCCAGTGCATCTGTTTTGACTGTAAAAACAAAAACTCACCAGCTGTACAGAAAGGATTTCTCCTCCAGTCTGCAAACAGAGCAGATTATTTCACCACAAATGCTGTCAGGTCTTTTGTCTGGCAGGCAGAAATCCAACCCTGGGCAGATCCCTCCACCCTGTTAGCAGAAACATTGGGGAGGGTTTAGTTCTTGCAGACAACAGATATGTGGTATTAAACCACTTGAAGCAGTTATTTAGTTTGTACAACACTGAGCACTCGATTGTTGCAGCAGAGTGATCCCCAAAACCCAGTCTGGAATCCAAAACTCGGTGTTTCACACCCGGTTTCCTCTGTATTCCAAACCACCCCTTATCCTTCACCACATGGACTTGTTTTCCCACATGTATGATGCCCATCTACATCCTCTTCAGACCATAAAACACACTCATGGTGACTTTTTTTCAACAGAGTGATGAGCTTGGTTATTGGCTGCTTGTGTATTTCTAAATAATTTAAAGCCCAAAAAACAGATTCCTTGTGAAACAGGAGTAACTACAAGGGTTGGGTATTTTGAACACCTCAGAAGCAGTTCTGAACCTCAGGACTAAACCCTTCTATTCCCATGGCTCTGCCAAGGGAAGCAACATTGATTTATTTAACAGTTATCAGGGAGTTTCTTCCATTCAAATTAAATCATGACCTTCCAACTCTGACTGGTGCCTCTGCACATGAAATGAAAACGCTACAGGAGAACACCTTGTTCCCTTTCCTCTCCTGTAGAAACACCTCAGCAGGCCCTGGAATGGCAGCTGGTCAGATTCCTGAGGATCCTCTGCTTCTGAGAGATCCCGAATTGACCAGTTTTCCTGTTTTCCTTGGCTCAGCACATTCTGTCATTCTTATTTTCTTTAAGCACTACTTTGCCCTTTATCAATTCCACTCAAGTCATCACCAAGGCCATTTTTCTGGCCTCAGAAGTTATTGGAAGTGAGAAAATGGGTCTATTAAAGCAGGATATGAGTGATTTTTTGATACCTTCAGCAATGTAACTTGTTTTCTCATTAATAGCCTGCAGTTTTAATGTCTTACTGGTAACTCTGCTTCAAAACAGGGAAGTTGAGTCACTGAAAAGCTGAAGAACTTGCCCAGATAAATTCAGCAAACAACATTCCCAGCCCAGATTCCAAGCACTACAATGCCCCAGCTGCTTCTCTAGGAAGATTCTCTCACTATTATTGATCATTAATCTCTACAGGTCTGTCCTGCACAAATGCCAAGAAAAAATCACAGGTCCCATAACAAACACTTGACAAACTTCTCCATGGAATCTGTGTCTCCTGTCTGACCTTATCATCCCTGAACTAGAAGGAGAGTAGGATTTAGCAATTAAAAAAATTTAAAGTTATTCCTGCAAAAGCACCAATCCTTTCTGTCCTTTTAAGAACTGGTTACTTATTCTCTCTAAGGAACTGAGCAATAAATATAAATTATGCAATTCCAAGCAATGAAAAGAAAGTGTTGGTTTGGTTTTAGTAGGATTTAGGAGTTCCCATAAGAGCAAATCATTAAGATAGATCAAATATGGAATTAAAGGGGTGCACCCTCCAGCAGATTCATTTGAACACTAAAAAGGGGGAAAAAAACCCAGAGAAAAAAACCACACAGGGAAAGAGATCTTAAATGTCTGGGACAGAAAGAGATTCCAGAGGGAGCAGTAACTGCGAGGGAGAACCAATATCCAAATAAACGTGTCCAGCACTCTCAGCATGTTTGTCTTGGAATTCTAAAGGACAACAAATGGTTGAGGAATCCCTGAAATCAAAGGAGTCTTGTGCCTGGGTGGCTCCTTCCGGGAACGCGAGCCAGTGAATCCCTGAATCCTGGAAGGCAGCGCTCCGTGTGGTGTCCGAGGTCAGCCCCTGAGGAGCAGGAAAGCTCTGAGGAGAGGGTGATGTCAGCTCCAAACACGGGATGGAAAGGATCCAGGAAACTTGTCAGTTCTGCAGCCACTCAGGAACAAATATTTAAGTTGGGAATTAGCGAGGAGACCAACCGGGAATGGGCAGGGGAGCTCTGGAGAGAGGCAAAGCAGGAATTGGATCAGAAAAGCAGGTCCTGTCCTGCTCGTTCCTCCGGCTGCTCTGCCCAGCCCGGAGCATTTGCATCCACCAGGCACCTGGATTTGCATCCCCTTTGGAAACTGGGAACACCCACAAGACCTTACGGAGTGGCTGGAATGCCTTAACGTGGAGTACTCCTGCCTGATGGGGAAACAGCAACTTCAATGGAACTGCTGTCCCTTGGAATAAAAAAAAATACCCCGGATTTGAACCTGCCACGGTCTGATACTTCCCCCCACATCAATCCCAGCCTGGCAGAACCGGTTTTATACACCCACTAATTCCACCTTCTGCTCTTGGAATGTTTTATGCCCATGTGAGCCAGGCTGAAGAGCCCTTCTGTGAGCAGGTAATGGCTGATACACAGTTCATAAAACCACAGCTCTGGCTTCCTTCACACAAAGAAAATCTCTGATGTCTCTCCCATGCAACAATTTCACAGCTGCCTCAGTAATTTTGTTTTTTCCTGGAATTTCTGCATCAACAACTATAAATCCCTTTTTTTCTTCAAACACGGAGGTGTTTGTGAAATATTTCTCCCTTCCCTGCAGTGAAAAAGTGAAAAATCTGACATTTTGGAGGCCACAAGCACAAGTCCATGGCTGGCCCAAGAAACCATCCCAGGAGATTTGGAGGGAATGAGCTTAAGGAAAGCAGAGAATCATATAATCCCAGGATGATTTGGGTTGGAAGAGACCTTAAAGATCATCTCATTCCACCCCCTACCATGGGCAGGGACACCTTCCACTAGCCCAGGTTGCTCCAAGCCCCGTCCAACCTGGCCTTGGACACTTCCAGGGATCCAGGGGCAGCCACAGCTCTTCTGGGCAACCTGTGCCAGGGCCTCCCCACCCTCCCAGGGAAGGATTTTTCCCTGAGAAATGTCTCCCTATGCATTACAATTCCAAGGATGGAGAGAGAGAGATTTGAGCCCTGATTTACAGAGCTGAAAACCAAAACAGGAAGGGGAGCCCAGAACTGCTGCTGCACCACAGCCATAAAACCTGGGAACTCACAGGATGCCACCAACTTTCCCTACAAACGCTCCCATCTGCTCTTCCCTGCCAGTCACTTCCTCTTCCCTCTTCTTTATTCAGTGCTTTGCTGTTTGTTCTGCTGCCAATTATTTCCATATTTTCCTGAAGTGGGTTAACTTCTCCACCAGATTTTTTTGATGCGTCTGGTGCCACGAGGTCTTGATATCCCAGATGATCCTTTCAGATAATTCCCAGTCTCCAACAGTATTCCCCACACAGAGTTCCATTCCCAAACGCATTCTGGGTGCACCAGTATAAATCCAGAAGATAATTCTCATGGATGTGGCGCTGATATCCATGTGCAAGCACAGGGGTGCACGTGCACATCCCTCCCGGATAAATCACTGGAGCCATGGCCTATTTACAGGAGGAAAGTGCAACCAAACTGTGGTTGGAACACAGGGATCCATGAGGAATCTCTGTGTTTTTCAGGGATAAAGAAGGATCCTTCTTAGCCCCTCAGAACTAGATCAGTCCGTGGGGCAGCACAAGCTGAGGAAAAACGTTTATATGTATTTTAGATGATTGGCCTTCAGTGGTGCTTTGCAACCATTGCCTGAGCAGAAAACCTTTGCAGAGCTACAACAAAGCACATTCATGAGCAAATCAGCCCCAAATTCACTGAACAATGAACACCAATCTCGAATTTGAGGGTGGTGGTGGGGGTAAGGACCTGCTAACAAGTTCTATTATGCTCAGGAGAAAACGGAATATAAAACTGATGTCTTAGCAATTTCAGGGAAAAGTGTTGCCCTTGTGCAGGGCTCAAACTTCACACTGTGCTGAGAATAAACTCGCAGACAGCACTGACAGCTGTGGGAATGGTGCCACGTATTAAAATGTTCCAACCTTCCTCGGGGATGCCAACGGGAGGAGTGACCCAGCAGAGCATCCTGTGCTCAGGTACAGGTCAGCTGAGACAGGGAGCAACACCTCGGGGAGGCTGAGAGTTGGGAAGGGAAACAAAGCCTAAATAAGTTCCTGAGGAGAAGCCGAAGGAAGAACGCTTAAAAAAAAATAGGTTAAGAGGAAGAAATTATTAAATTCCACATCAATTCATTGAATCCATGGGTAGGCACACATCTTGCCAGAGAAAAAATGGGAAAGCTTCAAATTGTGGTGGAGAAAAGCAGGAGTAGGTAAATAAAGGTGTTTTATTTATAAATGAAATATTTCAGGCGTCTCCTGTCCCCACCACTGATAAAAGGCAAATTATCTACACTGAGCCATGTCCACTGGAACTAAAAAAAATATAAATTAGCATAAGGAATACATAATTGTTGGAGCTGTTGGTGACCCATCCCTGGAAGTGTTCCAGGCCAGGTTGGATGGGGTTTGGAGCAACCTGGGCTAGTGGAAGGTGTCCCTGCCCATGGCAGGGGGTGGGACTGGATGGGCTTTAAGGTCCCTTCCAACACAAACCATTCCATGATTCCATGATAATCTTTTCACTAATTTGCTTAAAATGATGTGAAAGTCAGTGCATTGTGGCAGCCCCTGGATTCCTCCTCGCCACCATACCTGGAAATTGTGTTTTTAATCAGATTAGGGACAGAAAGAGAAGAAGCCACCATTTGGAATTCCTGATCTGCACATCCCTCCTTGTACCTCAGTGCTCGGAGCCTGCACCAGGCACAGAACCAGGGAACACACCCAGGAGGTGTCTCACAACGCTGGGGCAGGAGAAAGTTACTTCTCCAAACCTGACTCTTTGCAGATTCCCAGGGAAAAGCATGAAAATCCGAGGCAGCATCCATGAGAACAGGAGTTCTCTGCGGTGGGAAGCACAGCCATGGATTTTTAGGTAGCTATGAAACTACACAACTTGGGGAGCACGTTCCCTTCTTCCCTGGGTCTGTGATCCCCTGGGTTCCTGCAGGATCTTATTCTTTCCATGAAAATCAACCCAAGGACATGGAAAAGTCTGCCCAATCCCAGACTGTGCTGCAGCCCTTCTGCCTATGTTGCCTCAGCAAAGAGCAGAATGATGTTTGCACATGGAGGAAGGAACTCATTCC